CACCATATTGACCAAGCTGGTCTCAAACTCCTGACCTCAGGTGATCCGCCTGCCTTGACCTTCCAAAATGGGTAGGATTATAGGCGTGAGCCACCGAGCCTGGTGAAACTGAAATTTGATCTGTAAATGTCTGACACTTGAGAGGCTGATTGTGTTCTGGGAGCTCTGCATGGTGCCAGGCTCTTGAGAGTCCAGCTGGCAGAGGGGACATTGAGATTAGTTCAGGAGAATGGGAGACAGATTTCCCAAGATACACTGACAGAGTAATGACTCTGCTACAAGCCTGTAGGTTTGCCGAGTTCCTGATTCTGGCAGTTTATCTAATTGGGGCTTGTGCAGTCTTGCTAACTGGCTATTGATTACCTGAGGGTTGGAAAATGATGAATGGGGTGGGGAGTGGATTCCTGTCTGCTCCTACTGTAGCAGAAAGACTGGGTCCTTAGATTCTGCTCACTGCTCTGCTGGAATCACAGGACAGCACTCTGGGGCTTGCAGTGAGTGAGTGAATGTTGAGGAGGCACTGCCCAGCCTTTTCTCTTACTACCCTTTACCTGGAGCTGAAAAGCGTAAATTCTCAGCTCCAGAGGCAAATCCCGGCAGGCTCTCGTGGCCCTTATCTGTAACCAGGAGCTTGGGTGACCCCCAAAATCAGATTCTACCACCACCTGTGGAGAGCTCCAGGTTGGGAGGTATCTGTCTGGGACATTTCCTGGGGGAGGGGTCCTCATCCTGAGATGATGCTCTCTCAGCTGGATACCAGTCCAGCAAGACCCTCAGGCCCCACCTAGACCTATTGAATCAAAATCTACATTTTAATGAGATTCCAGGGTATATGCATGAACATTAGGAGTCTGAGAAGTACCAGCCTCTTCCACTTCCTGGCAGGGCCCTGGTTTCTCTTTAGTTTTTTGCATGGAGGTGAGGACAGACATCAGTAGAATGAGCCCAGCAATCACCCCTTCCAGCCACTCACTTCACAGCCAAACGGTCTCCTGGTAAGCAGAGGCAGCATCTCCTTCAAGTTCCTGCCCGAAACCTGGCATGCTTTTATAGCTCTTTTCCATAACACTAGGACAGGCTTTTTTGTTGTTGTCCTGGCCACTGCCCACCCACAAGCACCTGTGCATACCTGGGGAAAATGCAAGAGACATGAAGGCCTGTTCTTCCCATCCATGGAGGTTGAGATTGCCTGGGGAGAAAGAACTGGAATAGGAAATGGCCATAGGATGGACCCGCACTGGCAGGCACATGTGAACACAGGCCTCGACATAGAGCCACTGGGCCTGGGCAGTCTGGAACATGGACTGTGGTGTTCAGGTCAGGTGCTTTGGTCCTGACCCTACCCACTCCAGCCATCTGTCCTATGTGTATGATAGGCGTTTGCCCTGATGAAGTCCTTCTAAGTGAGCAAGGCTCTGCCGGGAGAAACTCTGTGAGAGAGAGAGTGTGCCATGCTGAGGGGGGATGTTGCTGTGTGAATGGAGGACCTCTGACGCAGCAGGGTTTGGAGGTGTGTATTCCTCACCAGCCAGGGCCTCATGGTGCTTGGTGCCTTTCTAGGGGCACCTTTCCTGTTCCCTGACCCCGTAGAGTGCTGTCTCATGTACACCAGGCCCTGTCCAGTGTGCTTGTTACCTGCGGGCTCTGTCCATGCAGCGCCAGTCCTGTGTCGGGTTCAGTGGCTTCCATGGACTTGAATAGAAAGCTTCCTCCAGAAGATGAATTTTGAGAAGGAGGAGGCCCCAAGTGCATTGCTGGGTGCTCCAGAATAAAAAGGAGATTGGGAGTGACAGAGCAGAGTTTGAAAAGGCGGGGGCGGGGGGGGAGGGGTGGGTCTGGTGTTTGTTGTTGGGAGCCCTCTGCACTATAGGAGGAGTCCTCTGGGTTCTGGGTAGCAGAGGAGGAAGGAAGCAGGACGTGGGAAGGGAGGCTGGCAGAAGGAAGGCTAACTGGAGGCTATTGGAATAACTCCATCCTGGCCTCCTGGGGATGTTTGGGGCAGATCAGGGATCCCAGGGGTGGGATCCACATGGTATGTGTAAGTCACAGTGTTGGAGGTGAGGGAGTATGTGGCAGAGCCCCACTCTGCAGGAGGGACATCAGCTTGTATGGGCAGGCTTGGAGAGGATTCCTGGCTGCTTTCTGACCTGGAGAGCACGTGGGGTCCTACCTACTATCCTGGCACTCCAGATCCCCCAGCCCGAAGCCCAGGCCCTAGACCCCAGCCCACTCCATACACACCACAGGCTCGAGTCATTGCCTCCATTCACTCTCCACCCCAAGCTTCTGTGTAAACTGTTTATGCTGCTCCCCACATTGGTCTTAGTTGTTTCCTTTAGGAATAATGCTGCCTACTGCCATTGTGTGGTGCCTACTGAGTAGCAGGCCCAAGGCTGGGCGTTCTGCACCCACTATCTCCAGTCACTGCCAAGTGGTATGTAATCTTCCCCTTACAGATGAGGAAACTGAGGATGGTGAGGTTACGTAACTTGACTTGAGGATAGCATGTACATGAGAACATACTCTCTCCACTGTCATGTCCAGGTTTAGTGCACAGTGGTAACTGTGTGCTGGGTTGAACTGGAGTATTTATAATTGATAACGGTAGGGGAACTTTCTCTTAGCTTCTCCTGAGCGAAGCACCAGTGGTTATTGGTGATGCCCTGGGAAGGGTCCAAAATGTTACTGCTGGCAGGCAGACAGCCTGTGCAGCCAGTGGAGTGCTCCCCTCAAGGGACCAGACTCCACAAGGAAGCAGAGAGCCTGCTGGCGATGCGCTTAGGCTGCTGGCCATAGCTGCCTGTGGGCATGGGCTGGGGGAGGATTTGAAGGCCCAGGGCTGGTGTGTGCTCATCAACTTTTAGGGCAAATACAAGACTCTTGAAAGAGGAGCAGATGCTGAGGAAGAGATAACTGAAGAGGAGAAATCTGAATGTTTACCCAGCACCCAGAGGCAATGGGTTGGAGGGGGCACCCTGGAATGGAGAGGGCATGCTGGAAGTGGTGGGGAGACACAGGTTGGAAGAGGTAGGGAAGGCCTGTGTGAGTGTGAGAGCAGTCTGAGAACACAGAGTCACCTTGAGAGGTGGCTTCCTGTAATATGAGGCCCGGGAGGCCTAGAGGAGCTGTTTCTAAAGGATGGCACAGAAGGTGAGTCATCACCTGCAGACTCATGCTAGAGAACTGTCAGGGTCCTCCAATGGGGAGAGTCTGTGATTCACTTGACATGAAATGTGACATCCTTGATGTCAGTGCTTTTGTCAAGAGTTCTATTCCTAGAGGCAGGACGGATGAAGGGGCTTTTGTAGGATTGATATTAGAATGATGCCATTAGGAGCTTTTCCATCTGCTGCCTTCAGTATCCTGAATTATCACCCTCCTCTGCTTGGGCAGTCTTTAAGCTGTGGGTGAGCCAGGTGACTGTACCAGGAACAGATGGGCTTGGGTAGAAGTTCCTAACTCACAGAGCTTTGTGAGTGCTGCTTGGCAGGGGACAGAGTGCTGTTGGGAGGGGAAGGCCACCTTCAGGGCCACTCTGTTGCTGCCTGGGTGACAAGGGCTGGTGGGAAGTGGCTTCCCAGGGGTGGGTGTCTGAGTTGCAGGTTGACCATACATTGATCTGGGACCAAATATACCAGAAGGGGCAGTGAGCTTGGCCACCTATAGTTCTATTGTTTTTTTGAGACAGAGTCTCACTCTGTCTCCCAGGCTGGAGTGCAGTGGCGTGATCTTGGCTCACTGAAGCCGCCACCTTTTGGCTTCAAGCAGTTCTCCTACCTCAGCCTCCCGAGTAGCTGGGATTACAGGCATGTACCACCACGCCTGGCTTTTTTTGTATTTTCAGTAGAGACAGGGTTTTGCCGTGTTGGCCAGTCTGGTCTCGAACCCCTGACCTCAAGTGATCCGCCCACCTCAGCCTCCCAAAGTGCTGGGATTACAGGCATGAGCCACCATGCCCGGCCCTGATTTCCCCACTTTTTTTTCCCCGAGTTTTTTTGTTTGTTTTTGAGGAGGCTTGCTCTGTTGCACAGGCTGGAGTGCAGTGGTACAATCTTGGCTCACTGCAACCTTTGCCTCCCAGGTTCAAATGATTCTCCTGCCTCAGCCTCCCAAGTAGGTGGGATTACAGGCGCTAGCCACCATGCCTGGCTAATTTTTGTATTTTTAGTAGAAACAGTGTTTCACCACGTTGGCCAGGCTGGTCTCGAACTCCTAACCTCAGGTGATCTGCCCGCGTCAGTCTCCCAAAGTTCTGGGATTACAGGTGTGAGCCACCACACCCAGCCTCCCCACTTCTTAAAGTGACTCTAACATGCCTTGGGATGTAGAAAATAAAATGAGGTGCAGAGAATGTGGCATGTCTCAGTGCTCTCTAGGTGACAGGGCTTGGTTATGCAGCCTGGTTTCTATGCTCTTTTTTTCCCTCTTGTTTTCCAGGTTGGAGTGTAATGGCACAATCTTGGCTCACTGTAACCTCCGCCTCCTGGGTTCAAGTGATTTGCCTGCCTTAGCCTCCTGAGTAGCTGAGATTACAGGCATGTGCCACCTCACCCGGCTAATTTTTTGTATTTTTAGTAGAGATGGGGGTTTCTTCATGTTGGTCAGGCTGGTCTCGAACTTCCGACCTCAGGTGATCTGCCTGCTTCTGCCTCCCAGAGTGCTGGGATTACATGCGTGAGCCACTGCACCTGGGCTATGCTCTGTCTCCCTCCCTGCTCCTCACCTCCCCTTATATGCCACAAGGAGCAGCCATGTGAGCAGGGGTAGGACCTCACCCCAGAGTCATGGGGAAGGCTGTCTGGGTGTCTGGAGAGCAGGAGACCAAATGTATATGCTGGTGGCAGAGTGGATGTGGGGAGGCAGGGAGCATATTTCCTGGCTTATGCTTGGATTCTGCTGGATGCTTCAGTTGCCTGACTTTTCTCACCTTCAATGTGTATGGGGATTGTGATGTACCCATCAGCTTACCTCTCTTCTCTCTCTCTCTCTCTTTTTTTTTTTTTAATATGGAATGCTTCACGAATTTGCATGTCATCCTTGTGCAGGGGCCATGCTAATCTTCTCTGTATTGTTCCAGTTTTAGTATATGCACTGCTGAAGCGAGCACTCTTCCTTTTTTTTAAACATACTGCATTACTCTCTTCTCCCAGAGTCAGGAGATGGCTTTCCCACGACTGTCCCAATAACTGACAGCACGAGCAAACACAATTCAGTTTAGAATCGTTTGCTATGAGGCATCCATCCCTAAGCCCTTCTTTCCTGCCGGCCTGCTGGGGCTGCATGAGGATCCTGTGAGGACAAGCAGATGCCTCCATACCTGGCCAGGAAGGGTCCCATGGGGAAAAGCTATCCCCACCTCACTGAAGCATGAGTTGTTCAACAGATTAAGTCCCTCTCCTTCACTGCAGGAGCAGATAGCCTCAGGCTGGATTCCTGACTGGTCACTGGGAGGTGGCATGGTTTGGGTCACTGGGTGGAGGCGGTGGACCCTCATTGGTCACTGTGGTTGGGGACCTGTCCTTGGTTGGAGACGTCTGGCAGGAAGACAGAGGCAGCTCCCTCCATGTGAGGCCAGAGGCAGCTCTGACTAAAGAAGAGCAGCAGCCCCCTCTTGTGCCACCTCTGTGTCTCCACTGGGCTCCCTAGAGCCCTGTCTTCTAGGTGTCCCTTTGTTGCTTCTGTCCTGGTTGCACACACCCCAGAGAGCAGCAGCTTCCCTGTAGTGGCAGGGGCAGACCCAACCCCCATACTGCTGCATTCAGCTGTTCCCACTGACCACCCATAGCATCACGTCAGCCTGGGTCACAGCTGCCTTTCATCACTTTTTCCACCTCCAGGGCTTGAGGCCTGGCCAAGAAAGAGCGGGGTGTGGTGGCTTGTGCTCAGAGCCATCCCTGGTGTGTCAGCTGTCCCCTCCCTCCTGTCTTTTCATTGTCTGTCTCCACCTGGAGAGCACCGCCCTTCATAGGCTCTGTCGCTTTTGGGCCATTGAGTTCCTCTGGGAGATGCTGGGTTATCATCTCTCCCACATTCTGACCTCTTTATTTGTATTTATTTATTTGTTTTTTAATAGAGACAATATCTTGTTGTAGAGCCCAGGCTGGGGGGCAGTGGCATGATTATCATTGTAACCTTAAACTCATGGGTCCAAGCCATCCTCCTGCCTCCGCCTCCATCACACCCAGCTAACTTTTTAGATTGGTTGTAGAGATAGGGTCTTACTATGTTGCCTAACCTGGTCTTGAACTCCTGGCCTCAAGTGATCCTCCTGCCTCGGCCTCCCTAAGTCCTAGAATGAGAGGTATGAGCCACTGTGCCCAGCCCTGACCTCTTTAGATCCACTCATAGCCTCCCATGCTCATCCTCCTCCCACCCCTGCTGAGGTGGAGGCGGGCTCTCAGTTGCATGGCATATTTGATGGTGACCTGGTCCAGCCAGCCTCACTGGCTGTGCTCCTTCAGGCTCACCTTCCCTGGTCAGTCCTCCCATCACAAGGTTACTCTTCTCAATCATGCCTGACATGCCTTGGTAGATGTGTGGTGCCTAGAGAGCTCTGCTCCCATGTGGCCCAGCCAGCTTGGAGCAGAAGTCTAAGTCACATTCATCTCTTTATTCTTCCTGCCTTCCCATGTTGACCTATTGCTAGCCCTGAGCCAAGTCCTGTGTGCAAGGGTTCCAGAGACAGAGACTACAGTGTGGATGAGATGGTAACAGCCACTGAGCCTCCAAACTGCCTCAGAAATTAGGGTGGAAAGAAGTTAAAAAAAAAAAAAAGTCAAGGCGCAGTAGCTCACGCCTGTAATCCTAGCACTTTGGGAGGCTGAGGCGGGTGAATCACAAGGTCAGGAGTTCAAGACCAACCTGGCCAACATGGTGAAACCCTGTCTCTACTAAAAATACAAAAATTAGCTGGGCGTGGTGGCATGTGCCTGTAGTCTCAGCTCCTCGGGAGGCTGAGGCAGGCGGATTGCTTGAATCAGGACTCAGGAGGCAGAGGTTGCAGTGAGCCGAGATCGCACTATTGCACTCCAGCCTGGGCTACAGAGCGAGACTCTGCCTCCCAAAAAAAAAAAAGGCCAGGCATGGTGGCTCACGCCTGTAATCTCAGCAGTTTGGAAGGCCTGTGGATCACCTGAGGTCAGGGGTTCAAGACCAGCCTGACCAACATGGTGAAACCTCAACATACAAAATTAGCTGGGTGTTGTGGTGCATGATTATAATCCCAGCTACTTGGGAGGCTGAGGCAGGAGAATTTCTTGAACCCAGGAGGTGGAGTTTGCAATGAGATTGTGCCATTGCATTCCAGCCTGGGCAACAAGAACAAAACTCTATCTAAAAAAAAAAAAAAAAATGCCACGTGCGGTGGCTCACACCTAAATCCCAGCACGTTGGAAGGCCAAGGTGGCTGATAACGAGGTTAGGAGATCAAGACCATCCTGGCTAACATGGTGAAACCCCGTCTCTAACTAAAAATACAAAAAATTAGCTGGGGGTAGTAGCATGCCCCTGTAGTTCCAGCTACTTGGGAGGTTGAGGCAGGAGATTCAGTTGAACCCAAGAGATGGAGGTTACAATGAGCCGAGATCGCGGCACTGCACTCCACTCTGGGTGACAAAGTGAGACTCCGTCTCAAAAAAAAGAGGCTAGACCCTGGGAATCATTTGGCCTCAGCAGAATCCTTGATGAGTGGAGATAAAAGAGATCATGAACTTCCAGGGCTACTCTAGGACATAATTTAAAAAAAATTTTTTTTTATCTAAGACAGAGCCTGTCACCAGGCTGGAGTGCAATGGCATGATCTCGACTCACTGCAACCTCCACCTCCCAGGTTCAAGCGATTCTCCTGCCTCAGCCTCCTGAGTAGCTGGGTCTACAAGCACATGCCACCACGCCCAGCTAATTGTTGTATTTTTAGTAGAGATCGAGTTTCACCATGTTGGCCAGGATGGTCTCAATCTCTCGACCTCGTGATCTGCCCGCCTCAGTCTCCCAAGGTGCTAGGAGCCACCATGCCTGGCCATCTAAGGACATTTTTAAAAGCAGACATCACTAGGTTGCTGGTACAGGCTGATTGCAGAGCAAGCAAACAGCATCCTTCTTGGTCTTTTTTAATTTTATTTTATTTATTTATTATTTTTTTAATAAAGATGGAGTTTCACCATGTTGGTCAGGCTGGTCTTGAACTCCTGACCTCAGGTGATCTGCCTGCCTTGGCCTCCAAAGTGCTTGGATTACAGGCGTGAGCCACCATGCCCAGCCCCTTCATGATCTTAAGTTGTACCCTGTCTCCCTCCTCTCCTTCCCCTCCACTCTGTGGCTCTGGGCAGGGACGGGGGCGGGCACACGATTTCGTTATCCATTTCAAGTTTCTTTCTTTCTTTCTTTCTTTCTTTCTTTTTTTTTTTTTTTTGAGACAGAGTTTCGCTCTTGTTACCCAGGCTGGAGTGCAATGGAGCGATCTCGGCTCACCGCAACCTCCGCCTCCTGGGTTCAGGCAATTCTCCTGCCTCAGCCTCCTGAGTAGCTGGATTACAGGCACATGCTACCGTGCACAGCTAATTTTTTATATTTTTAGTAGAGATGGGGTTTCACCATGTTGACCAGGATGGTCTCGATCTCTTGACCTCGTGATCCACCTGCCTCGGCCTCCCAAAGTGCTGGGATTACAGGCGTGAGCCACCGCGCCTGGCCCCCATTTCAAGTTTCAGAATACAACCTTACTAACCTTTAAGTTGTCACACCTTTTCTCATTTTTATTCTCTGTTTGTTTTTAAAACTCCATTCTCTTCCCTCTGTTTCTCTTCTCAGGCTCTCTCCCCCTACACTCTTCCCTTTTCTGTTGCTTGCCCCCTCACCCGCCCTCTGCTGGGTCCCAGGGTGGTAGATTCTGTCTGGTCTGAAAGCCCAGGCACCAGGATGATGGGTTTTTAACCAGAGGAGGAGAAGCTGGCTTTGCTGCTACAGTGTCTAATTCTACTTAATTTGACAAAATGCTGGTCGTTGTTGTGGGCAGCATCACTGGGTGCTGTTCTTGTTGTCATGCTGTTCTCTCCTGAGTAAACCCAAAGCTCTGTTTCCCAGAATTTCCTCTGTGCCCTTTTCTCTGCTCTCATTCAGGCCCACGTAAGTACAGAAAGGAGGCCTTTGAAGGTGGGAACACTAGGTCTGAAAATACATCTTGAGACAGAGCTGAGGGAAGAACTGAGTCATGGTAGCAAAGCTCAGGCTGCTTCCTCCCTTCCTTTCCCTAGCAGTGCTGTGGTGGGACCACCTTCTCTGCCAGCCGGCCTGCTCCAGAATCATCATGGGTTAGATAAGGAACCCAGGGGTTAAGAGGTCAGCTTAGCTGGGAGCAGTGGCGTGTGCCTATAGCTACGCAGGAGGCTGAGGTGGGAGGATTACTTGAGCCCAGGAGTTCTGGGCTGTGGTGTGCTATGCCAATTGGGTGTCCACACTAAGTTTGGCATCAATATGGTAACGTCCCGGGAGCAGGGGACCACCAGGTTGCCTAAGGAGGGGTGAACTGGTACAGGTCAGAAATGGAGCAGGTCAAAACTCCCGTGCTGATCAGTAGTGGAATCGCACCAGTGAATAGCCACTGCACTCTAGCCTGGACAACATATTGAGACCCCATCTCTAAAAAAAAAAAAAAAGAGGTCAGCTTAAATGCTAGATTTTCTGCTCTGTGCTTCATATGTGGCCATGTGAGGGAAAAGGTAGAGAAAAAGGAATCTAGGACTTTAGAAACTGGAAGGGACCTAGAGTTCATGACATTCGGTCCCTTCTTCATGCTGAAAGTGATGGCATTGTGATTTCTCTAAAGCCAGCAGAGAAGGTAGAACTAGAACTCAGGTTGCTGGGCTTGCAGTCTAACCCTTTAATCTATCCCACATGCCACTCAGAAGAGACACCAATGGGCCTTTCTCTCCCAGCCTCACTTGCCAGTAGGCAGCCCTGCCTGCCAGAGGAAGTCTAGGGCTACCCTGTAAGGTGTGTTTGCTGCCAGAAAGAAGCAGCTTCCTCCTCTGCCTGCAGCCTATGCTGGAGAGCTGGCACTGTTCTTTGTTTCCTCCTTTGCCCTTGGGCTCAAGGTGAGACTGTTGGCAGGTACATGGGTAGTGTTCGTGCCAGGCCCTTGTGCCAGACATTAGAGCTAAAAGGGTTGGTGCTGGGGGTCCTCCGGCAGGAGCAGAAAGCCCTTCCCGCTCTGCTGCCTCTCCCTCTCCAGGGGGAGTCAGACTTCACTGCCAAGGAGTGGCTTTCGCCCAGCATGGGTAGAGGAATGAGGAGGGCCAGTTGGTAAGGAGGTGCTCAAGAAAGAGGTCCCTCCCCATACCCACTATTGGCATCTTTGTTGTTCCAACATCAGGAGCAGGTATCCTAACTGCAAAGGGAAAAGGGCTCTTTGAGGGCCACGGACTCAGGAGAAAGGCAGCCAGGTTGATGGTAGGAGTCAGAGTGGAGGTGATGCCCTCCTCCCATAGCCCCTGCTTGTCCTCCTCTTGGAGCAGGGCCCGGCCCTCACTCATGCAGCAGCCTCCCAAAGTGCTGGGATTAGAGGCATGAGCCATTGACTTGTCCAGAGACTGTAGAAAGGAGAGTGGAGGCTGTGACCCCGGGTATGGAAGCTGTTCTCTGATCCCAAAGCGGGGGGAAACCTGAGAGTCTGGGGTCAGAGCCAGTGACATCTTAGCGTTTCCCTCTGTGCCTGATGCTCCACATCAGCCCAGAAGCAAGTGGAAGCCTCAGAGAGACTGCCCAGGTGGGTCTTGGCATCTGTGCTATGACCCTGGTGTGGCCTCAAATAAGTATACTGGGGCATAAGTTCTGTCCTTCACCAGAACAAACAGTTATGGAGACTAAAGGCCATCACTGTTCATAATTTTCCCTTTTCTCCTGCTTAGAATGCTTCCCGGCCAGACAGTCCATGGCTGACATACATACTTGAGTGGCTCCAGGGGAAGCAGGTGGGTTGGGCTGCTGGTGTTGAGCACTTTCTGAGGAGGTGCTGAGTTGATACGGGGCCCAAAGCATGGCTGTGGGCGAGTGTGGAAAGCCTTACTTTTCTGAGCCCTGTGGGAGGCCTCAGCAGGGCTCCCAGATTGAGTGAGGCCTGTTATTCTGGAGGTTAGCCTAAGACCCTGCCTCACAGTGAGCTGGATGAAGACTACCTTCTTGTGTTCAGCCTGACTTTCTTCTGTAGGTTCCTCTGTGTACAACGGTTAGGCTGGAGGCCATTGGCACAGCCTGGTTCTCAGGTCAGGATGACTTGAGTCACATTAGCTTGGGGGACCCACCTGGCCCAGCTGCTCACAGCTCTTCAAAGATGGGGAGAGCTGGAACCTGCCAGAGAGGCCAGGCCAGCCCTCAGACAAATGAGTCCATCTGCATTCTGCACACACCCACACATCCACAGTAATTGGTGAGGCGAGAATCTTGGGGAGCAGGGGGAGAGGGATCGATCTGGCTTGCTTTGGCACTAATGGGCTGGCCGCTCCATGAGCAGCAGGGGTTGATGCCTGGTGTGAGCCTGTGCCACTCTGAAGATGGAGACACTTAAGCCCATAGGGCTGGTCTGGGGAGAGGCCCCTCCAAGACTGCATTGGTGACTGGTTTGGAGTTTTGGGTCCACAGTTTGGCTGGGTGTGGATATGAAGTAGGGAAGCCTCCATTCCATCCATGTTCAGGCTCCTAACCTCTGTAGGGGAGTTGCCCCTCTTTTGTCTTGGCTGGACCAAGGTGCAGGGGCAGAATCCATGTCTCAGCCCTGTTGGGACAGCCTGGGCTGCCAGTCCTGTCTTGGGGCTGTTCCATCAACAGGCCAGGCTTAGCTGCAACGTGCTCCCTAGTGAGTTCTCCGTTTCCTGGAGACTAGAAAGCCAGCAGGCAGCACAGGTGTCCCCTGACCCATCTGTTCAGCTGGGTCTGTGCTGTCTCCATTAAGCTGCTTTCTGTCTCTCCAGTGGGTGATGGGGGCTACAGTGAATGTCTGTGGTCTGGACTGGCTACCCCCACTAGTGGTTCCTCATGTTCAGGGGGCAGCCATGGAGCTTTCTTTTTTTAAAAAAAAATTTAAATGTTTTTTTTTTTTTTTTCTTTGAGACAGAGTCTTACCATCTTGCCCAGGATGATCTTGAACTCCTGGGCTCAAGCAGTCCTCCTGCCTCAGATTCCCAAAGTGTTGGGATTACAGGCAGAAGCTACTGCACGTGGGTTTTTGGGCTGTGATCCAAAAGCTGTTGTGGTAGCTGTCTACTCCAGTTGCCCTGCATATTGGCCTCAATACCTCAGTATAAATCTTGAACAACACAAGCCCCCAGGGGGCTTACTTGCCTGCGTGGGAGGGCTGTTGCTGTCTGCACCTACACACAGCCCTTGGATAGTAAGGTATCTATGGGCCTCCATTGGCTGCATGCTACTGGGCCATGACTTCCTCCTCCTGAGGGCCAGCATCTCCCCAGGAGTCACTGGGTGCTGCTGGCCCACAGGTGAGGATGAGCCTGTTAGGTGTGTTTGGAAATGTGGTTCTGCTGTTGCTCCCATTTCAGCTCAGTAAAACTTGAAATAACCTTCCAAAGAGGACAGCAGCTGCAGGTAGCCCCAGCCCTTCCTCAGAAGCGTGTTCTCCCTGCCTCACCCCTCTACTGACTCCCCCTGGGTAGGGGAAAAGTTGGAGGTCAAGGGAGCCAGACTAGGGATAGCATTAGTCAGTGGGTATACGTGTCTGCCAAATGGCTGTGCACCTGCCCTGAAAGAGGACTCTCAGATCCTCCTAAGCCCCCTGGAGGGCATGTTCAGCAGTTCGTTAGGGTGAAGGGTACCATGGGTGGAACAGGCAGACCTCAGCTGGCAGGAAGCAAAGTGATGGTATTCTTAGCATCCCTGTTGAGCCATCTGCAACAGGTTCAGGAAAGGTCCTAGCTGCCTATCCTTGGGGGAGCATCAGAACCCATGCTTAAAGTGCTCCTAGGAGATGGAGGACTCAAGGACTCACCTGACTGAGCCCCATGGCCTGGAAGCAGCTCCAGGAAAGGGTACATCTGGTCGCAGCATCGTGGGTTGTTACTCACCTGTGCCTACTGAGCGCTTCCTATATGCGCAGCACCAGGCACTGGGGCTCATCCAGCGCAGCATGATCTCATGGGAATAATAAATGAACATGAAACTGCAGTCTTCAAGTTATAGCTGGAATAATTGCTGGAAGCACTGGGGGCTAAGAGGGAGTCTAAGCAAGTGTCCTCTACCCTGAGAACCAGAGGATCCAGCCAAGTGAAGACAGCCATGAGCCTGAGGCCTGGAGACAGACAGCTGCTGGGGTGCGGGGTTAAGACGAGGCAGCCCTAGGCGCATGTGGCAGAGCGAACTTTATGGAGTTCCTGCCGGGAGACAGAATGTACTAAAATGAGACTGGCGCACAGCACTGCCAGCAGCCCTTTGTGGCTTAAAGAAGTCATGTGCACTGCAGGGTGCCATTGAGAAGGCTCCTGGTTCCTGCCTGGTCGCTGGAAGTCCCTGCCCTCAGCAGACTGGGAAATCTAGTTGCCTTGAATTATTTCCTTTACTCCCCATGCTGGGAGGTGGAGTCAGGGAGCAGTGGTCTCCCACCACTGTAAGGACTAGGAAGTTCCCCTCTAAGTGGCCTGATCCTGGTCATCCAGGGATTGGAGCTTTAGTCTGACTTAGGATGTGGTGGGAAAGTTTGAGTCATTCTCTTACATTCCCCTGAGTTATAATTATCCTGGGGTAGGTTGGGGGGTCCTAGCAGAGGCCATCTCCCTGAGCCAGGCTTTGGGTCCAGTGCACCATAGAAGTTTGCTCCCGGGGCTGGGCGCGGTGGTTCGCGCCTGTAATCCAAGCACTTTGGGAGGCCAAGGCGGGTGGATCATGAGGTCTGGAGTTCAAGACCAGCCTGATCAACATGATGAAACCCCATCTCTACTAAAAATACAAAAATTAGCCGGGCGTGGTGGCACGTGCCTGTAATCCCAGCTACTCAGGCAGGAGAATCACTTGAACCCGGGAGGCAGAGGTTGCAGTGAGCCAAGATTGAGCCACTGCACTCCAGCCTGGGTGACGGAGCAAGACTCCATCTCAAAAAATAAAAAATGTTTGCTCCCTGGGAGAGTGGACAGGTCCTTTCCTTCCTTGTCAGACTCCTCATCGCCACGAGAGCAGCCTAGGCCAGCACTGGGTGGGGAGGCCCCAAGTGCTACATGAGAGAAGGGGCAGTGCCTCTCTCGGGAAAGTACAGGGATGCTGGGTAGTGGCTCATCCAGATGGGGTGGGCAGTGTTGGGTGTTCTTGCTCTAATGCTTGTCCTTGGTCTCTAGCCCTGGCCTAGTGTGTCCAACTTGGCCAAGGACTTCATTGACCGCCTGCTGACAGTGGACCCTGGAGCCCGTATGACTGCACTGCAGGCCCTGAGGCACCCATGGGTGGTAAGCATGGCCGCCTCTTCATCCATGAAGAACCTGCACCGCTCCATATCCCAGAACCTCCTCAAACGTGCCTCCTCGCGCTGCCAGAGCACCAAATCTGCCCAGTCCACACGTTCCAGCCGCTCGACACGTTCCAACAAGTCACGCCGTGTGCGGGAGCGGGAGCTGCGGGAGCTCAACCTGCGCTACCAGCAGCAGTACAATGGCTGAGCCACCTGGCTGTGCACACATGCGGCACGGCCCAGCCTGGCCACACACTGTGGTGCCCTCTGGCTCTGATGCCCTCTCTGGAGATAGGCCTGTGTGACCCGCAGTAGGTGAAGAATGTCTGGTGCCAGCCCCTTCTCTGTGCCTTCAGCAGCCCCTGTCCTCACCATGGGCCTGGGCCAGGTGTGAGAGAGTGGAAGTAGCCCAGGGGGCTGTGACCCACCCTGAACTGGGAGCCTGGCCTGGCACTGATACCCCTCTTGGGTAGCTGCTCTGGAGTTTTGAAGGGATAGGACCTGGCCTTCACTGTCTTCTTTGCCCTTTGGCTCTTCCCAAATCAAAGGGGCCTGCAGTGCAGGGTGGAGGGTGTCCTGTGGCCTCAGGACCTTGTGGGACAGTTGCTTCTGGGACCCCTTTCTTTCACAGAGCCCTCCTCCCTGGCTCCACACATTCCCATACATCCTGATCCTTAAGATTATGCTCTAGTGGGAGATCCAGGTAGGCACAAAGCTTGTGCCCTGTCTGGACCGGTAGCCCTTAGCTAGATCCAAATAGCCCTCCACCTCCCAGCCAAGATCTGTCTTCCTTTGTGGTGCCCCCAGGGAGCCCTCCTGGTCCCAGGACCTCTGGTAGTGGGGCCATGGAGTGGACCTTCACCCTTCTAGACTGTGTCCATGCTGGTGGTCGGCTTGCCCAGGCTCCAGCTTCTTCAGACTCTGAGGGTGTCTCTGCCCACCAGCCCACTGCCTTTGGTGCCTTCTTTGTAGAGCCTACCACTACCTCCCTCTCCCCCTTGGATGCCCATTCCATTCCCCAGGTGCCTCCTTCCCAACTGGGGGTGGTTAAAGGGAGCCCCACTGCTGCTACCTGGGGGATGGGGCACCTGGGGGCCAAGGCAGAGGGCAGGGGGCTCCTTCACATTAGGGTCCAGTGTCAGCCTGGGTACTATCTTTTGGTGCAGCCCATTGCCCCTTCCCTTCAGGCTTTGCCGCTCCCTCCTCTGCAGCTGCATGAAGGCGCCATCTGGTGTCTGCATGGGTATTGGCAGCCTGGGAGTGATCATTGCACGCCCATCGTGCACACATGTAGTCATCCGAGAGGACATGGGAAGAAAGGAGTTGCAGCACTGGGGGAGGGTCCCCGGCTACTCACCTCTCCCCTGCTGCTGAGCTTCTGCACACCCCTCCCTGGAACTTAGCAATACTGTGTGACCTGCCTCTGAACCCTGGGTGCCTGGGGCACTGCCTTCTCACATCTGGCCTTGCCCCGTCCACCGTGTGCTGCTTCCCTTCACAGCATTAACCTTCCAGTCTGGGTCCCACTGAGTCTCAGGCTGGAAAGAGCCCCTGTGGGAGGTGGGTAGGGTTGGGTGGCTGCTTTCCTAGAGGCCTGAGCCAGAACTGTCCCCATGGCTGTTGTGGTATCTCCCCCTACCACAAACCAGACTGGAACCTGAGCCCCTCCCTCCACAGCTGCCTTCAGTGGGTAGAATGGGGCCAGCGCCCAGCTTTGGCCTTAGCTTGACTGCAGGGCCCCTGCTAGTGGGGAAGGGTTTGGCTCTCACTCAGCTTCTACCGGTCAGCAGCTTGGGCCAGGCCCTCCTCTTCCTGCATGTGCCACCTCCAGTGGGAAACAAAACTAAAGCGACCACTCTGTACCAAGTCCACTGTGCCTTAGACACCCCCTCCTGTCATCCCCACTGCCCACTGGAAGGAGGCAGTGGAAAGCCAAGCCCCATGGCCTCAGAATTTCCCCCCAGTTCCCCAAGTGTCTCTGGGGGCTTGAAGCTTGGGTGTTATGTTTTCTCTTGCCCAGGGTAGGCCTGGTCCTGAGGGCAGGATCAGGGGTTTGGAGATGTGGGCCTTTGACAGACCCACCTGGGCTTTCATGCCATGGATTGTGGATGGAGAATGTGCAGTTATTTATTACGTGTATTCAGTTTGTAAATGTATCCTCTGTATTCAGTAAACAGGCTGCCTCTCCAGAGAGGGCTGCCATTCATTCCAACAGCTCTGGCTTCTTGCTGTAGAACCAAGGGGTTGCCCTGGAGGAGGGCATGGCTACTCTAGGAAGAACCACTACTCCTCAAGGAGTCACTCAGCCCCTTCCATGCCAGAAGTCCAAGTAGGGAGTTGGACCCTCAACAGCCTCTTTTATCCTGAGCCAGGAAGACAGACAAGAATGCATGATGGGACAGGGCCTGAGTCTTTAATGGGTTGAGCTGGGGAGGGGCCCGTGGTGGGCTCAGTTGTAGGCTATGACCTGGTTGATCCAGGCGCTGAACTTGCTAACTCGGGTGTACATAGCAGGTGCGCGCACATTGCAGTCTTTGGTGCCCCAGGAGACAATACCAATAAGCACCCACGCATTTCCCTTCTGGCAGACAAGAGGGCCTCCAGAGTCACCCTGAGAAGGAAGAGGGAGGGAGAAGTGAATGTGGGGGATTGGGAGGTGTGCCGGGGATGGGGTGCCATGGCTCACCTGGCACGAGGAGGCACCTGCGCCACCTGCGCAGATCATAGAGTCAGTGATACGTGAGCCCCAGTACTGCCGGCACTGATTCACAGTGACCAGGGGCAAAGCCACCTGCTGCAGACGTGCTGGTGTCACATTGCCTGTGGGGCAGGAGGGGTGGTCAGGCTGGACCCACCTCTCAGTCTTCCCGCCCTGAGCTTTGGCCTGAGTTCTTACCCACACCACTGAGGCGACCCCAGCCGGTGGTGACACACGTGAGGCCTTCAGTTAGAGCCTCGTTTGAGGATGCCAGGCACACTGGTGAGATGCGTGTTGTGTACTGGGCTGGCGAGGCGAGCTTCAGCAGTGTCAAGTCATTGTTTATGGTGGTGGGGTTCCAGCTAGGGTGCGTAATGGCCTGTGGGGCCAGAAGCAGGCCATGTTGGGCTGGGGTGGGTCCCGGCACCTGGGGCTGATAGGTACTTAGTGGGGTAGGCCAGGGTGTGTCCTGAATTCCTTGTTCCCAGAGCCCACCCACCTGCCCTGCCCACTCTTCCTCCATGTCTGCAGCCCAGGCACTCACCCGAGAGATGGACAGAACCTGCAGGGGCTCTGCGTTGGATGATCGGTCATACTCGCCCAGGACAACAAAGTGACGGCCAGGGCTGCAGGGAGGTAGGGTTAGGCAGCTGCAGGGAGGGCAGAACAAGATGGGGACAGCAAGGCGAGGAGGCAGGAAGAGGTGAGGGGTGGGGCAGGTGGAGTGAGGGCACTCACCTGACATTGCAGTGGGCAGCAGTGACCACCCAGGACTGGCTGATGAGAGAACCACCACAGAAGTGGAAGCCGCTGCTGTCCTGGGGTCAGGGCTCAGAGATCAGAGTGGGGATGGGCTGCTCAGGCTGCCCCTAGGCATGACATACCCAGGACCCTGCCCACCCCTCCAGTGGTGTACCTGCAGGGACACCTGCCAGGGCCAGGAGCCCGGCACTGCATTCTCCCCGTTGACAATCCTCTGGCTGAAGCTCAGTGCCGGTTTGATGGCAGGAAGGCCGCAGCCTGACCATTGGGCTGGTGAGGACCTGCTTCCCAGGCCTCAGCCTGCCTTTTCCCACCTCCTCCTCCTCCTGGGTGCCCCACGCTGTGCACCCTGGAGAGGTCTGTAGAGAGGGTACAGTACTACCCCTTCCCCAACAGGGTACATACAAGTACCGTCGGGCCCCACAGCTATCTTGTTTTTCCCCATCCAACCAGTCCCCCAGTCCTGCCGTTCTCTCGCCTCTTGCTCCAGCCTAGTCCCATTGTTTCCCGTCTCTTCCCCTGGTCTCTTTGACCTCTCCAGACCTGAACAGTTCATACCATTCATACAGCCAGAGGGTCCTTTCTAAAAGACATGGACAGGTCTTCCTGTCTCAGCTTCCTAAACCATGCCCTACCCACCCCGGCCCCAGCTCCCAGGGCCTAGCTCAAGCTCTGGTCCTATTTGTGAACCCTCCACCCCACTTTTACCCCCCTCCCATCCCTGCAGGCCTGTTCATGCTCCCCTGCCCTGGCACATCCTGTTTCCTTTGCCCACTCTGTCCACCTGCATCCCTTCCAGCCAGCCTGGCCCCTTCCCTGGGCTGGTGCTGGGAGCTGAGTTGCCCCCAGGGCTGAGTTAGGGCTGGTCCTGGCCCACTCACCCCAGGAGGAGCTGAGGAGAACCAGGCTTAGAGTCAGGCTAAGCAGCAACATCGTGGCAGATGTGAGGTTGGGAGCTGGGCCTGGCTTTATGGGTGTTCTTGTCCTTGAGCTAAAGTTCCAGGCCTGAGGCCAGGCCAGCTGTGTAGACTCAGTCCCCTCACACGCTCCAGTCAAGACAGGCTCTTTAGGCCAAGGTCCCCTGACTCCTGGGGACTTACCAGATAAAAGCCCAGGTGTGAGGCTCTCACCTCTACCACCTCCCAATGCCTGGCCTCTAATTGGCTCCCTGAACCATCTCCCATTCTAATGTTGAGCTGTGGATACTGAGGACAGATGGTTTAATTAGTTCCATAGTGACAACCTGGTGGCTGGGATTAGAGGAGTCTCCCAGGGCTATCAAAGGTACCAGGCTCTCAGAAAAGGCTGCTCAGCATCCAGGATGTTCTGACTGGTGAGGGAATGCTTACTCTAGTGGACTTTGCTGTGAAGGCCAGGGCCGTGAGGTTCTGGCAGGTTGTGAGTTGTAACACATCATGGTTCCTCATAACTCAGTGGTTCCGCATCCATTTGGAACAGGAGTCACAGGTCTGCTCAGAGATGGTGACTCTTCTCACCAGCATGTGGTTGAGTTGGATACAAACCCGCATTTGTCTGGTGCTGAAGCCCCCACTCTAAACAATGAGTGCCAGGCTTCTGAGGGGCCTGGCACTTAGAAGGGCAAAGTGTGAGCTCTTGGTGCCTGGCAGACCCTGGACTGAGGCTGCAAATGGAGAGTGACAGCCATCAAATCTCTGGCAGCCTCTCTAGGCCTTGGGGCTTCCATGGGCAAACCCCTGGTGTCTGTAGCCCATTTGTTACTGAGCTGCAGTTCAAGCTTGAAGAGAGAAGATACCCTGTGTGCAAAGTTCCACCAGGTGTGTTGGCTGGCCTCCTGGGAGTGTGGGAGTGTGAGGGTGTTTTTTTTTTTTGAGACAGAGTCTCACTCTGTCACCCAGGCTGGAGTGCAGTGTCAGGATAACAGCTTGCTGCAACCTCTGCCTCCCGGGTTCAAGTGATTCTCCTGCCTCAGCCTCCTGAGTAGCTGGGACTACTGGTGCGTGCCACCACGCCTGGCTAATTTTTGTATTTTTAGTAGAGACGGGGTTTCACCATATTGATCAGGCTGGTCTTGAACTCCTGACTTCATGATCCGCCTGCCTTGGTCTCCCAAAGTGCTGGGATCACAAGCATAAGCTACCACACCCAGCCAGGAAATATAACAAAATACTAATTGTCGGGTCTGTGGTGACCTGACAGCATATGGGTATTCCATATACAACTCTTTCAACTTTTCAGTTACATTTACAAATATATGTAATAGAATGTTGGGGTGCAGGGAGCATAGTCAGCAGCCCAGGGATGTCCAGCCTGGCATAGACCCTCCCTGGAGGTTGCACACACTCTCCCTGACAGTTCTGAAGCTCCAGTGGAGTTAAGCCATTCTTGCTGAGGGCAGGATGCTCTTGCTGGTACCCAGCAGCCAGGCCTGAGACTCAGCCGGGGCCTAACAAAGGTTTGTTAGAGAAATGTGTGAGTTCTGTGACCCCTATTGGCCTGGAAAACTTGGAGTTACAAGCCCAGCATGTGCAGACAGAAGCCAAGCTTCTGTGAGCAGTGCAGGCGTGCTTCATCTTCTGAGCGGTGTCACGGGTAAGGAATGTTGCAAGGTTGAGGAGTGCTTGGTGAGACCTTGTGTTGCAGTCAGGGAGCAGCTCCTCTGTCAGCACTTTAGCCCTCAGTGGGGCCTGTGGGGGCCTGACTGAAAGGTATGGACTTTGTCCTGGGCCACTGAGGAGCCATGGAAAGTCTCTAGGAGGTGGTAGTACATGGGGTCTTTCAGGTTTTACAAGTCTCCAGTGGACCAGAGGGCAAGAGCAAGGCAATGGAGTTGGCGGGGGAGCCAGAAGGAAGGTTCAGGTGGAGACAGGATGGGGGCGTTTCATCCAAGCCTGCAGTGCTGGCAAGGGCTGGGGTTCTGGAGTAGTAGATGCCGGAGGTGATGGGTGAAGGGCATCTCATAGGCCAGGCACTGGAGCTCTGGGAGGTAATGGCTCCTGCAGGGACGCCTTAGCTACAGAGCCCCGCTGGCTGCCTGCCCACCCACTCCACTCAAGAATGACAGTCATTTGTTTAGCTGTTTGTATTTTCTGGGTTTATTCCCCCTTGTTCCAAGCTCTAAGCCTCAGCCTATTTTACTCCACCTCCATAGCCTGCACGGTTTCCTCCAGTAGCTCCAGAGTTAGTGGCTTCACTGTCTGGGTCAGGACAGCTGTGGTTCCAGGCACAAAGTGGTAGTGACCAGACCTGGGAGGAGGGACAGCTTCTGAACATGAGCCTGTCATGTGGCCCATCCCCTTCTTGCAGCCCCCATCTCTCCTGCTATGGCTCCACACATCCCTATGGTCCCCCACCTCCAGCTCTCACCTCTTCACAGGCTCTGTGGGCGAGCTCAGTGTCCTCAGTAGCTTGGCGCCTGACTTCGTGATCACACATGCATCCACATTGCCCCCGGAGCCCAGGTCACCCAAGATTCCTGCGGTGATGGCTTCCACCAGCAGCCCCTGAGCAGCCTCCAGCTGCAGTGATGGATGTGTGAGGCCTAATGGGCCCTCTGCTGTTAATTTAGGCTACAGCTTGGGGACTTGCCTGTCCACTCACCCAATCTGGTCTTGCTCCCCCAACCCTCGCTGTGTTCCTCCCTGTCTTTGGGGAGACATACATCACCTGCTTCTATCCTAGCCCAAACAAAATCTGGGCTCCAGACATTGATATAAATAGGACCCTACTGGTCCTCCCCTTCACCCTCGGTTCCAAAAGATCCTCTGTGAGCTTCGACTGCTCCCAGTCATCCAAGCTTTGGTATTGGACGGTGTGGTGTAGGGATCAAACTTCTCTGCTCTTACTCCACTCACCCTTCAGTGGTCACCTCCTCCGACGAGCCTTCCCCCACCTCCACACTGGGTCAGGGTCCTGTGCTCCCCCAGCTCCCAGGTGCACATCCCACCAGCGACCAGATAGTGGGGAACAGAGGCTGCTCACCGTCATGTCCGGCTGGAACCGGTCTTCTAGCACCGCCAGGGCCGCGTCCTGGCCAGAGCCTGAAGGCAGGAGAAGCATCTGAAGTCAACGGCTGCCACCCGGTTTGGAGTAGAAGCCTGAGGCCAAGGTCACAGGGACAGGGTTCGAGGAGAAGGGACAGAAGCGCTCACCCAGGGCCGTGAAGAGCATACGGCTGTAGGAGCCATGGGGATGTACACCGTAGAGCTGCGGTCCAGTCAGATCTACGCCGCCCACGATCAGCGATGCACCCACGTGGCCCTGGTACCTGCTCGTAGATGGGCGGAGTCGGCCACAAGCGGGGCCCAGGCCTCGGCCCTCTATGCCCCACCCAGGGGTGCTATCCCCGCCCCTTCCTGTGGCCTGGAGCTCGATAGCTGACTTCGCCTCTTCCCGTAGCCCAGCTTCTTAGTCCGGCCTCTTCCGGTCACCTGGCCCGTCACGGCCCCGCCCTCCTTTTGTTCCGCTTTTTTTATTGGCCCTGCCCCTGCAACGGCCACTCGCGGGGTCCTGTTAGCCTCGCCCTCGCACCGGAAGAGCGTCTGGCGCAGGATGCGGGTGACTGTGGGCACGCGGGGCTCGCGGCCGGTGGATAGCGCGTGTAGCTCCATCTTGGACCCCACCATTCGTGTAATCATTTCGGTGTCCGCGGCTACTCCAGCCCCACAGCAGCTGAGGGGAAAAAGGAGGATTGGCGTGGGCAGGGCTAGGACGTGCGGGGACCGGAGTAGGAACGAAGGGGCGGTTCTTTTTTGCGTGCCGGAACTAGGCTAGGGGAGTCTCACTAGATTTTGGGGGCGATGAAGTGGATTTTCTCGCAGCTCTTGTCCGCCACTACAGAATCATTAGTGGCTCGCGTGTCGGCGCCCAGAATGACCCCGTCCTGAGGAGAGGGAGGGACCGCAGCCTCAGTGCCTGCTTGATGCTCCTGGCTCCCCTCCAGCTCCCCCGTCCCTCCCCGCGGCTTACTTGGAACACAAGGCCCGCGATGGTGGTACCGGTCTTGCGTGCATGAGGGACCTTGAGTCCCGGGAGGACGCGTTCCAAGGATGCATTTCTGGAAAGGGAGGAGGGGGCGCAGGTTTCAGCTCTACTTCCAAGACCCCTGTTGCTTCCCCTAACCCGGTCCCAGTCTCCCTCATCTTCTAGTGTAAGCCTGGAACCCGTCGCTGAACACACCCTCCCCCACCCCCAACCAGGAAAAAAGGCCACGACCAAGCAGAGGCGGCTTGGGAGCGACCCTCCCCTTCACCTTTGGCAGTTCTCGAAGGAGAAACCCCCTCGGGTCTCCAGGGCTGGCTCCAGCATCTTGGGGCAGGCAGAGCCGATTAGGGGTCGCGGGCAGATGGGTGGGTCAGACAAGTGGGGCCAGTGAGGAGCTGAAAAGCCCTCTGCTAGGCTCCACGTCTGTCCTTTCTACTTTCACTTTCGCCTTTACCCTTCCTCAAAGTCCCCTGGCGGTTTTCGGCATCTTCTCTTTCACTTTCGGCTTTATGTGTGGCTCTGAGCATTTTGGGTACAGGATGATGTCCCTTGCTGGACCCTTTGTGCTGCTCATCGGGTCCTCCGTTGAACAGAGGAACAAGTCTCTTCCCTTCTGGACATTGTTTAGCTTTTCCTTCTGCTCCATCTGAGCCCCCGGCTCTTACCCCAGCCTCAACTCTGATTTCCAGTCCCAACACCCGAAGGCTGTCAGAGCCTTGGCCAGGTTTCTGCATTGTTGCTGGCTAACCAGTAGCATCAGGAGTGGCTGACTTTTGTTCCTTGTCACATTTCTTCCAACTCTTGCCTCTTTTGTTGCGTTTACTCCTCTGCGAAACCTCAAACAGAGGCTCAGTTAGCCGCAGTGATACTGGTCTTTCCATCTTCCCTGTCTCAGGTGCCATCTTCCCTCTCTCAAGAGGAGCACTGTGGCTGCTGGTTTCCACTCATGGCCAAGCCTTGTTATTTCATCTCCCAGTGACCTCTTGTCCGTAGACATCTTCTAGCACTTCTCATCTCAGCTAGCATCTTCTCCCACACTGACATTGCACTGGCCTCCCTGGTTACTTCGCAATTTTTGCCCCTCACCTCAGGCTACACTTTACCCTGCAGAGAGTCTTTCTAAATTGGAAATCTGGCACACTCTCTGGTTTAAACCCTTCAGCAGGTCGGGCCTGGTGGCTCACCACTGTAATCCCAGCATTTTGGAAGCCCAGGAGTTCGAGGCCACAGTGAGACATGGATCACGCCATTGTACTCCAGCCTGGGCAATAGACCCTGTCTCAAAGCGGGGGGCGGAGGGGAAGATTTGGGTGCTCGCGTAGGCAGCACATATACTAAAATTGGAACGACACAGAGATTAGCATGGCCCCTGTGCAGTGCAAGGATGACATGCAAATTCGTGAAGTGTTCCATATTTATTTTTTAAAAGTTACTAAAATTTTAAAAAGAAGTTTTAAAAAAAAAGATTTGGGTTTGAGCCTAAGAGCAGCATGCAGCTGCTGAAGTGTTTACTTTTTCTTTTTATTTTGAGGGAGTCTCACTCTGTTGTGATCTTGGTTCACTGCAACCTCTGCCTCCCAGGTACAAGCAGTCTTCCACCTCAGCCTCCTGAGTAGCTGGGATCGCAGGCACACACCACCATAGCTGGCTAATTTTTTTTATGCGTGTATGTGTGTATATATATATGTATGTATATTTTATAGAGATGGGGTTTCACCATGTTACCCAGGCTGGTCTTGAACTCCTAAGCTCAGGCGATCCACCCCCGGCCTCCCAAAGTGCTAGGATTATAAGAATGAACCACAATGCTTGGCCTATTTTACTTTTTAAAATTTTTTTATTTTCTTTTTTTTTATTTTGAGACAAGCTCTTGCTGTTGTGCAGTCTGGAGTGCAGTGGTGCTGTCTCAGATCACTGCAACCTCTGCCTCCCAGGTTCAAGCAGTCCTCCCACCTCAGCCTCCCTAGAAGATTTGACTGCAGGTGTGTGCCACCACACCTGGCTAATTTTTAAATTTTTTGTAGAGATGGGGTCTCACAATATTGCCCAGGCTGGTCTCGAACTCCTGGGCTCAGTCAAGTCAAACTCTTCTTTACAGTGGTCCATTACTCTTCTCATCCCTGTGACCTCAGTGTAGGTACCACCTCCTCTGGGAAGCCTTTACTGACCTGAAAGACTTAGCCTCTTTTGCTCCCTAAACTTTTCTTATTTTTATTTTTTTTTGTTCCCTAAACTTTTCTCAGAGCACTTAGCTTCATACTAATTAAACTTTCATTAGTGAAATTATCTGATTAATGGTTGTCACTCAGATTCTAATTCTAAACTTTTTTTTGAGACCCAGTCTTTTTTTTTTTTTTTTTTTTGAGACGGAGTTTCGCTCTTGTTACCCAGGCTGGAGTGCAATGGAGCAATCTCGGCTCACCGCAACCTCCGCCTCCTGGGTTCAGGCAATTCTCCTGCCTCAGCCTCCTGAGTAGCTGGGACTACAGGCACGCGCCACCATTCCCAGCTAATTTTTTGTATTTTTAGTAGAGACGGGGTTTCACCATGTTGACCAGGATGGTCTTGATCTGTTGACCTTGTGATCCACCCGCCTCAGCCTCCCAAAGTGCTGGGATTACAGGCATGAGACACCACGCTTGGCCGAGACCCAGTCTTTCTTGAGACAGAGTCTTGCTCTGTCACCCAGGCTAAAGTCTAATGACACGATCTTGGCTCATAGTAACCTCTGCCTCCCAGGTTCAAACGATCGTGCCTCAGCCTCCCGAGTAGCTGGGACTACAGGCATGTCCCACCCCACCTGGCAAGTGTTTTGTATTTTAGTAGAGGTGGGGTGTCTACCACGTTGGCCAGGCTGGTCTCCAACTCTTGACTTCAGGTGATCTGCCTGCCTTGGCCTCCCAAAGTGCTGGGATTATAGGCATGAACTACCACACCCAGCCTCTAAACTCTTTTGGCCTTGTCAGTCACCCAGCACTCAAAAGGCCCTATCTCACCTGCCCTTTTGGGAGCTTGGAGGACAGCTCAAATTGCCCCCTCCCTGTACTCCTAACACGGGACTGTGGGTACAGCCAGCTCCAGTCCCCGTGCCCATCACAGAGGCAGGCATGGTGCATGCTGCCTCAAAAGCTTGACCAGGAGAGTGGACAGATGTACATCTAGGGTGCCCAGCTCAGTCCCATGCCTCAGCAGAGCCCATCTTGCCTCACTCCGCACTGATCTGTGGGTGGTGACAAGTGAAACCTGGTGTGGGACTCTAGTGTCTCCCTTCAGCTCTCAACATACACATCAGGGTTTACAGCAGGAAAGTCTTTATTCAGGGGGTGGGGGCTCTGGGCTGGCCATGGCCATCGGGGACGCAGGGGGACCCTGGCGGTAGGCACCCAGCAGGATGGCATTGATGTGCTCCAGGGTCTGGTTGCTGAAGACCATGTTGAGGTGCTGTATCCCGTGCAGGGGCAGCAGGTGCACAGGCTGTGGCTGGCGGCCCCGCCAGAGGCCACAGAGCTCAGTGCTGCGCGTGGCCACCGTGTCATCACCATCCTCATAGAGCTCACCCACAGGGTCTGTGTAGGGGAAGCCGTGGTCGTAGATGTAGGTGCTGGGCGTGGGCAGGCCCACACCGTAAAGACAGTATACTTCCACGCCAGGTGCTGGGAGTCCTGCCAGGAGGTCACGTGACTGCAGCCACATGTACCAGCCTTCCTCAAAGTGGAGGTCTGCAAAGAAGCGCTGGAAATCCCTGCCTGTGTAGTTGAAGCTGGGTGTGGAAATGAACACATGGTCCTCAGGCCATGCCATGCGAGAGGGAAACATCCAGGGGGAGGTCGTCGTTATGCGCTGTTCCTCTTTCAGCTTGATGCTGGACATGATGGGGATGCCCTGGTTGTCACCTGCGGATATGGAGCAAGGTGGGACAGGGAGCCAGTTCTGGCCCACAACCTGCTGATTGTAGACTCAGCCAGATACTCTATCTTGTCCCTGCCCAATCTAGACAGACGCTAAGCTACAGACTTGAACAGGCCTGATACTCAGTGATGCTCAATGTGGGCTTATTCAATGAGAAGCCCTGATGGCACCTCTGTTGGGTGGGGCTGTAGGGCTTCAAAAGGAGGGCAGGGGCAGGTGCCAGCGCTCAGCCCTCTAATCCCAACATTTAGGGAGGCTGAGGCAGGAGTACCACTTGAGGCCAGGAGTCCAAGACCAGTCTGGGCAACGCAGTGAGCCCCTGTCTATACAAAAAAAAAAAAAAAAAACAGCTGGGCATAGTGGAGTGCACCTCTAGTCCTGGCTATGGAGGAGGCAAAGGCAGGACGATTGCTTGAGTCCAGGAATTTGAGGTTACAGTGAACTATGATCATGCCACTGCACTGTAGCCTGGGTGACAGGGCAAGACCCCAGCTTAAAAAATAAATAGTCCGGGCGCGGTGGCTCACGCCTATAATCCCGGCACTTTGGGAGGCCGAGGCAGGTGGATCACAAGGTCAAGAGATCGAGACCATACTGGTCAACAAGGTGAAACCTCGTCTCTACTAAAATGACAAAAATTAGCTGGGCATGGTGGTGCGTGCCTGTAGTCCCAGCTACTCGGGAGGCTGAGGCAGGAGAATTGCTTGAACCCAGGAGGTGGAGGTTGCGGTGAGCCGAGATCGTGCCATTGCACTCCAGTCTGGGTAACAACAGCGAAACTCCGTCTCAAAATAAATAAATAAATAGGGCTGGAAACAGTGGCTCATGCCTATAATCCCAGCATTTTGGGAGGCCGAGGCAGGCAGATGACTTGAGGTCTGAAGTTTGAGACTAGCTGGCTAACATGGTGAAACCCTGTCCCTACTAAAAATATAAAAATTAACCAGGCATGTTGGCACATGCATGTGATCCCAGATACTCATGAGGCTGAGGCAGGAGAATCACTTGAACCCGAGAAGCAGAGGTTGCAATGAGCTAAGATTGCGCCACCGCACTGCAGCCTGGGCAACAGAGCGAGATTCCATCTCAAAATAAATAAAAGTAAATATTTTTTAAAAGGGCAAGAGCCCAGCACAGTGGCTCACGCCTGTTATCTGGCACCTTGGGAGGCTGAGACAGGAAGATCACAAGCTCAGGAGTTAGACCAGCCGGGGCAACATAGCAACACCTCATCCCTACTAAAAAATAAAAATAAGTTAGGTGTGGTGGTGCATGCCTATAGTCTCAGCTACCCAGGAGGCTGAGGCAGGAGGATTGCTTGAGCTAGGGAGATTAAGGCTGCAGCTATGATTGTGCCACTGCACTCCAGCCTGGGTGTCAGAGAGAGACCCATGTCTTTTTTTTTTTTTTAGACAGAGGTTCGCTGTTGTTACCCAGGCTGGAGTGCAATGGTGCGATCTCGGCTCACCGCAACCTCCGCCTCCTAGGTTCAGGCAATTCTCCTGCCTCAGCCTCCTGAGTAGCTGGGATTACAGGCACGCGCCACCATGCCCAGCTAATTTTTTGTATTTTTAGTAGAGATGGGGTTTCACCATGTTGACCAGGATGGTCTCGATCTTTTGACCTTGTGATCCACCCGCCTCAGCCTCCCAAAGTGCTGGGATTACAGGCGGGAGCCACTGTGCCCGGCTGAGACCCTGTCTTAAAAAAAAAAAAGGCAGGTGGGGCTTCCTGAGGACTGGGGTGTGGGGATGCTGGGGGGTGTGGGGATGGTGGAGGGTATGGGGATGCTGGGGGGTGTGGGGATGGTAGGGGGTATGTCGATGCTGGGGGTGTGCTACCTGTTCTCCCTTGGACATGTGTCTGTCTGCTATTTGTGTGGCTTGTGCTGCAATGGGGGTCACAGAGTTGTGGTCCAGGAAGGGGGAAACGAGATGGTGTCTATTTGATGTTTATTGGTGGTGTCTGATGAGTGTTTCTCTCTTCAGACTGTGAGCCAGCTCCCAGGGTACAGCGGGTAGGGAGTAGGTGGTAGCTGTCAGTGCTGGGCCCTGGTGCCACTCCCTAGGGAAGGGCAGGCGGGGCTCTGAGGGTCTGGCGCTAGCTCTGGCAGATCCATCCCTAGTAAAGCACATCCCTGGGCAAAGGCATTCATGCAAATGGAAGGCAGGCAAGGGCCAGTTAGGCAGGTTCTGGGGCTACAAGGAACAAACCTGGGGGCAGCGAGCTGGGGTTTTCTTTCCAGTGTTCACTGCCCCTTTGCCATCACTGACACAGACTCTGGAAGGAGCCACCCTAATTGCTCAGGCCAGGGTCACTGCTCTGGGGGCCAGTGACAGCAAGCTTGCTGGTCCAGGGGTGGTAGACAACACCCCCAGAGGCCACTGTAAGCAGGAGCCGCAGTGAAGGCAGGCCCAGGATCAGCTTCGTCTTACCACCCTCCCCTCTTTGGGCCTAAGTGATCAAGGCCCTCTCACCTGAGGCCAAGACCAGCATGGGTTTGATGGAGCCACCCCAGGGAGCCCCAAGAGAGATGAAGCCATCAATGAAGCGGTCCTTCCAGGCCTGGGGCTGGCGCAGCAGGAAATAGAGCAAGTGTAGGCAGCCGAGGCTGTGACCGATGAGGAAGACAGGCTTCCCATAGGCAGCGTGCATCTCCTCCACCAGCCCCGCGAGCTTGTGGTAGTACTCCTCCTGCTGGCCTGAAGTGGGTGAAAGGGGTCAGGGCAGCTGGGGTGGGGCCACCTGTCCAGCCCCAAGCCTGTCCTCGGCAGAGACTCACCAGGCTCCAGCCGCCAGTCATAGGGGGCAGCACGCACAGTCTCGTCCCGCACGTAGCCATTGTTGACCAGGTTCTGTACCAGCGTGTGCAGGTACCCTGTGGGGGAGGCAGCAGCACTGGGAGCTCGGGCCATGCCTGCTTCGGGCCAGCACCCCGGCCTGGAGCCCCGGCCCTGCTCTCTGACACACACCTGCCAGCTTGCTGCTGTCCAGATACTCCACAGAGTAGGTCTTGCCAAAGCCAGGGACACGGATCTGGACACCAGGGGCGTTGGACACAAGCCCGGAGCTCCGGTTGTAGACAACCCTAGGGGCGGGGTGCCACTCAGCAGCCAGTAGCTGTGGGGCAGCATGTGGGGGCTGGGGTGGAGCACGTGGCTGTACCTGGTGTTATCGATCCAGCAGTCTACCCCGAGGGGTAGGAACATGTTAAGATCCAGCCAGATGGTGAAGAAGTCCTCTGTCTTGCGGTAGCACATCCAGTTCACCACATCTGGTTTGTCCAGCTTGGCTTCTAGCTGATTCCCCAGGCAGCCGGGCACTGTGAGCAGCGGCCCTCACTCTGGACTCTGGATTCCCCCCCGTGACCCTTACCCCAGTCACCCCAGATGCTGCAGTGACCAGATCTGCCCCCCACCTCCCACACCCTCAACCCCTAGGTACAAAGCACACTTACCCTCCCCCGCTCACATCCCCTCTCCCTGCTGTCCCCCCAGTAGCCAAAGCCCAGGCTTTCCTGAGGAAGGGAAGGTGTTGGGGTCGAGGCCGCTGACCCCTGCCTCTACAGAGCAAACACCCATCCTGGCACTCCTTTATTGCCAAAGTCCAAGGTGGGAACAGATAGGTCTGGGGGCGTGGGGGCTGGGCCTAGCAAGGCCAGGCATGGATGGGCCTCTCCTGCTCGATGGCCCTAGGCTGGGCATCCTGTCTTTGGTGGGTGGGGGCCAAGGAAGGAGTGGTGGGGCTTGGCCCAGAGTCTGGTGTGGCTGTGGCTGACCACAGCTTGTGATGCCCCAGCCAAGACCTCAGGCACACCCCATCCCCCACTCTGCCCCCTGAGGTAGGCAACTGAGAGACAAAGCACTGGGGGAGAAGGGGAGGGTCATTCCTCTACTGGATAAGCTTTTGGCCCCTCCCCACACTGAGGCAGATACTGGGGCTTAAACAGGACAGAAGGGCTTTGGCTGGGTCGGCTGCTGGCGCGGTGCATCAGGGGCCTGGCGGGGGCTTACCGAGGATGACAGGCCGTGTGTGGTTACTGAGCTCAGCCTTGGGCGTGGTGTGCGGGGGGAAGAGCACATTGAAGAGCCAGAAGGGGGCGGCAGGAGGGAGCAGCAGCCCCAGCAGCAGCGGCACCCACTGCCATGGGGAGCCAGGCGGCCCCATTCCAGCCCTGGTGCCTACTGCCAGAGAAAGGAGCACTGGGCTGGCCTTATGTGGTGTGGGGGTGGGAGGGGCCCTAGGGCCAGTGGGAGGGACAGCCTGGCCAGTGGGAGTGGTGGCCAGAGATTGCCGGAAAGGGGCACAGCCTCAGGGGCCGGCTATGGGCCTGAAATCAGTCCCGCCTTCTTCTCTTGGCGCCAGGGGAAACAGAGCGGGAGCAGCAGGAGGCCCAGAATACACAATGTTTTATTGAAAAAGTCAGGCCTCAGCTTGCTGTTTCCATTCGGCTCAGCTTGGTGGGGGGCCCTGCCAGTAGTAGACTGAGCCAGATCTTCCTGCAGGCGGCTGGGCTGGACCTCCTCCCTGGCTACCCTTCCCTTCGTCTCTGATGGTGACATCCAAACAATAAATATGCAATAAATAGCGCTCCTGAGCTGGGCTGGGCCGGCTACCTTCAAACCCCACTCGGCCCCCACCAGTCTTCTCTGGCCAGGACAGGCCTACTGGGGTGCTAGATGGTGAAGTCCCCAAACCTCCCAGGGTCCCACAAGACCTCGGCTCCATCTCCATTTAGAGGCCCAGACCTGGTTTCCAAGGAGACCTAGCAAAGCTGGGTCCAGGACAGGGCCAGGCAAGCAGAGCTGGCAGGTGGGTGCTGGGAGGAGGCTGTTACCCCAGACCACAGCTTGTGATATCCCGGCCGCGACCTCCACTCCAGGCCACAAGACGACACTGGGCTCAGGAGTAGATGGTGATGACTTCACGGCCACCACCACGCACCAACAGCACCCGCTCAAGGCCCTCAGTCAGCACCTCGAGGAACTCCATGTCTGCAGGACCTCGGGTCAAGGAGGCAGCACCAAGACCAAGAGGCAACCAGGCAACCACACCCACCCAGGGGCACCTGGTAGAGGAGCTGCCGGTCTGACCTCCCACACTGTCTACCTCCCCACTGCCTGCCTCTCCACAAAGGGATACAGTTTTCATCACCTTCACTGTTCTTGGGTGGGCCAGGCATGTTTAGGAGAACCAGGCGGGCATCGTGGGAGCGCGTGACAATGACTTCATTGAGCTTCACAGCGGTGTGCATACGCCGTACATTGGATTGGTCCCTACATGTAGTGTAGCCAGTCACAGGTCACCATGAGCTGCCCTGGCCCACCTAACACAACTTGTCTGCCCCACCCCACCTCTGCCCCTAGATTCCAGCGCAGCAGGGTCTGTTTTTGCTGCACTTACGGCTTAATATGCACCAGCTCCCGGAAATTGTCAGGGGTGTGGCTGGGGTCCCAGGGCTCAGTCATGTACTTGTCCCTGGTCCATGTCATCTGGATCTTATCAGCCCCCATTGCAGACTCATCTTCCTCATCCGAGTACAGGCCTTCCAGCCGCAGGGCCGAGTGCCGGTCCTTGACCAGCTGGGCCTGGTGATAATCAAAGGAGGTAGACTTGGTGCCATAGGAAAAGGGGGATGGCGGCATGACTGACCCAAGGTGACCACCCTGCCTCTGGGAAATGGGCACTGGCTTGGGTGGGGCTGTGCTGAGTCATTCTGATTCCTCTGGACCCACCATAGGGTCTCCAAAGGTCTGACCCTGCCACCCACCCTGGCCTGAACCAAGAAGGGCACTGACTTCTCGCTCTCGCTCAGTCTTCGTCAGTCTCATCTGTCGCAGCATCTGCGACCGCTGCTCCATCATCAGCGTCCGCTCGTAGGTATATGCAGAGATGTCGCTGTTATGCTGGGGACAAGGTAGGCTGTCAAGATCCAGCTGCATGGGACATGGTATCCAGGGGCCAGGGCAGGGCAGGGGGCTCACCATCTCCACCACCTCCACCTCGGCCTCAAGGCGCAGATGGTACAGGAAGACAGCCAGGTCCTTCTTCATCTGGATGCTGTTGTCGTCCATCTGGGCCACTGTGAAGATGCGCATCCGGCACTTCCTCCAGACCTGAGGCAAGGTACCGGGTGGGCGGTTTGGTCAGAGCTTCTCCTTCGAGGGCCCAGCCCCTCTCACCCACCCCCACCCCCGGCCCACCTTATGCTGGCGCAGCAGGAAGGGCAGAAGCATGAGCATGCCACCATCATGCACGATCCACCACACGTCTATGTGACCCTCCAGGTAGCGCTCGTGGTTGCTGGGGTAGAAAGCAATGTTCTTGGGCACGAGCAAGGCCAGGTGGGCGGCTGTGGTGCAGCGCACGGTGTCTGGGGAGGACAGGCACAGTTGACCACCAGCCTGTGGCCCTCTGGCCACTGCCACCTCACTTCACCCCTGCCCACTAGTCCCAGCCCAGGCCTCAGGCCCTCACACACCAATGAAGGTCTTCCAGGCACGGGGGTCCTCGCTCTGTCGCCAGCCATAGGGCCAGCCCAGCACCACAGAGTTATGCCGCATGCCGCCTAGCCCACAGGACTGGATGAGGTGGGCCAGCCCCTCCCGAACCTTGCTGGCCACCACCACCTGGCAGAAACCCTTCACCTTCTCAATCTCCATCATGTTCTTGATTGTCTGTGGGGAACATACCCGGGGCCGAGAGGAGGCCATCAGCTTCCCTTCTGCTGGGCTCCCTCCTAAGGCCCTTTGGGAACAAAATGACTTTGGGGTGGAAGAGGGCCTGGGGCAACAAGCTGCCCACCCGGAGGCCAAGTTTTCAAGATGGGACTGCCAGCTCGCCCTCGTGCCAGCTCTCAGGTACAGCAGTGCTGGCTGCTCGGCCGGTCGCCCTGGGCAAGATTGAGCCCCTCCCCTTGCACCTATAGGTGCAATCCAGACCCCTACAGTCCGGTTCAGCTCTCACCCCCCGAAGCAGGCACCTGCTCAGCGGCCTGGGCCTCGCCATAGCTCTCCAAGAAGCTGCCCTGGATAACAGAGCCAACAATGGTCAGGCCCTTGCCGGCCTTGAGCTGGGAGGCGAAGGTGAGGAGCCTCGGGTACTTCACATGCAGGTCCTCGTCGAGCTTCAGCAGTACCAGCAGCTGCGGCCTGTGGTGGCCAGGTGCGGGGAGTGTGAGACCAGGGCCAGCCTTTCCAGGGAGCCCCTCCTCTTCTTCCTTTCTCTGGTCATGGTCCCTGTGGGTTTGGGTAGCATGGCCCAGGAGGGTGCCCCTGGCAGTCCAGGACAGGGAGTCCAGGCTGGGAAAGGGAGCTGGCACCTCTCAACCCTCTGTCCCTCATAGTGCCCCCTAAGAACCTCTGTGCCCTGGCCAGGGTCTGGTGGGAACTCACCGCCAGTTCTTGGTGTGAGGAGGCCCTTCCTCAAGCCGCAGCAGCGCGTAGCGGGCAGCACTCAGGGACAGGCCTCGGATCCCGTCACCCCACTCCTTCTCAGCCCTGCAGATTCCACAGCAGCTGGTGAGCCTCAGATGCCGCCCAGGGGATTTTGTCTATGTGGATTCGAGGTGGAGGTGTTCTGCCCTCCAAGACCACCCAGGGGCCCTGAGTCATAGCCCTGAGTCCTGACACCCACAGTGAGCCAGCTCCCTACCCACTCCCACATCAGACCACCTCGCCTGCTTGGCTCATCCCCTTCAAGGCTGTGCAGGCTGCAGGCATAGGCCAGGTGCAGCCGCTTACTCACCCTTGGTACTCGATGTACTTGTAGATCATGCCGGCGATGAGCATGGCTACCAGGGCATAGTACCAGGAGGAGACGAACATAAGGGCCAGGCAGAGGCTCATGCCCAGGAATGACAGCGCCCTAGGCCGGAGGGGAGGGCAGAATCAGGGGAGGACCAGAAGGGTCCCAGGCAACAGCCTGGCCCACATCCTGGCAGCTCTGTCACATCCCAGGTCATACACTGGGTGGGAGACACAGGTCCAGCTCCCCCAGCCCCATAATTTCCCTTCCCACAGTATTTCATCAAGAGCTACCTGCCCAGGAAACCCAAGCCTCATCCAGAATGAGGCTCCTGGCCTCCCCAGGGCCTCCTATGTCAGAGGCGTGGCTCACCAGTGATAGTACTTGAACCGGGGCCGCCAGTTGGGGGTCCTCAAGAGCGTCTGCACCGCACAGGCCAGGTTCACAAACAGGTAGCACATCAGAAAAAACCTGCAGCACAGGGGGTGGTTGGCACAGAGCAGCCTCCTCGGCAGCTAGGGATCTGATGTCAGGCTGGGCCTGGCCCAGAAACGGGGCATGGCCCACCCTGCCTGGCTCGGCCAGCTCTTCTCAACCTCATTGCCCCCACTTCCATGGCCTGAGGCAATGAGACTACGCTGGGGGTGTCCTTGGAGCCAGATCACTGAGGATGGGCGAGGGTTCGCCCATGGAGGAGTGGGAAGGGGAGTAACGGGGCAGAGCTGAAGAGGGTGGTGCTGGGTGGTGGGAAGAGCTCTGCCTGGAGACTCTGGGCCACACTTAGGACTCTGGCCTGGGTAACTAGCTAGATGAGGGGCTGCCAGGCATGAAGGGGAGGATGGAAGATGAAGCGGACCATTTGAATGCACCTAGTCAGACACTTAAGAGACGATGCAGTGGGTTTGGGAGTCTGAGGCACGGGCAAGGCCAGCTGTGTGAGCCCTCTGGGAGGGCAGCTGAAGATGGGTGCATAGGAAGGCAGGAGAACCCACATGGGGCATGTCAGGGGGCAGGGGCTCCCATGAGGGGGAGATGGTATGAGTCTCTTCAGGCGCTGCCAGCAGGAGGCCCAAGATAAAGGTTGAGATGTAGCCTCTGGCTTGGGCACAAGGGATCACCACCCAAGACAGATGGCCACCTGCTCTGGGGGCTCTCTCATGGACGTGTGAACCAACTGGCTATGGCCAGTTTCAGCTGTGCACTTATGTGAGGGGCAGGGATGGGGTGGGGGACTGAGAGGGCGCTGGCTCCAGCAGGCCTGGTGGTAGCTGGGGCAGAGGCTGCTCAGGGAGACAGGGCCCTGTCAGGTCTGCAGGCTGAGGGGGCAGGGAAGGGGAGAATGTTCATAACCACACAAGCAAGAAGGAGCATCGGTCAGAGAGCAGGGTGAGCGAGGACCCCAGCCTG